TTTTATTGTGTTGCACTGTTGGAGGAGCCTGTGACCTAAGATTTTCATCGTCATAACTACACTGTAGCTATGCACGTTGATGCCGACTAACCACTTCAGAATCCACAGTGTTCACAAAACAACATTCAACATTTTTAGATTGTAAATGATACTGTAGCCCCCCTAGCTGGAACGTGAGGATTTGATTCAAAGTCTTCCCTCTCCTGTGCAGTTATATGCCTTTGGGTTTTTTCTCTGTGTACTACAGTTTTTCTCCCAACACATGCAGCTGATTTCTTCACTGTGCCAACACAAATCAGTAATTTAGTATCTATGCTCCATTTGCCACACATCAAAATGTAAAGTGGTCACCGCAAAGCACCTTAGACCCATCAAGTATAAAGCGTACTAAAGGCAAACAGAAACATAACAATACCTGTTCCACCAAGTTACTAGGGAAACCAGCTAGTACCCATTTAGGCAAACTAACACTTTGTGAAGAAAGCCCCTTACTACTTTTATTTTTGTATTTTATTATACAGTATATGTTGCATTGTTTGAGGAGCTCAGGTCATAAGAATGTCCTTGCCACTTCTACCCTGTAGCGTATATGCATATGACAATTAAACCTTTGAATTTTAAATCAAGGCTGAAGCCGTTGCTTTTTTAACTGAACTATTACTATTTTTCACTGCACTTTAACTTTTACTCATGTATTTTTTACGTTTATTTTATTATCTTTGCTTTTTAATTACTGTTTTTAAATGCCTTTTTATAATGTATTTCCACTGCACTGTTTCTTAATGTTTTAATGTCTGTTCAATTTTGTAAAGCACTTTGAATTGCCTTTTGTTGAAAGGTGCAAGATAAATCAACTTGCCTTGCTTTGCCTGCAATTGGATGACTAACGGGCTATTTTCTGTAAAAGCTGACATTTCTGCCCTCCCGCTTCTACTCATTTTGTTTGTTTGTCGGATTCATAAATTGTTTGTACTAATATTGAAATATGAGAATACATTTTTAAAACATTTTAAAAAACGTAATCAGGCAGTACGAAGAAAATCAAGACGAAAACTAATTTAAATAAAATACCAATAACAATCTGTTATTGTGTGATACAATCATATACACATATGCTCACACATTAGTAAGTTAAAATTCAATGATAAGAAAGCCCCTTGTTAGAAAGTTGATTACCCAAATCGGAGTTTGTCTTCGTATCAATTACTAAATGACAATCTTATGGAAGGTTTGTTTTACATCTGAATGTTAAAAACACAGCCCTTCTTAAGAACAAACAGAGATGGGAGAAGTACTCAGATCTTGTACTTGAGTAAAAGTAGAAGTACCAGAGTGTAGGAATACTCTGTTAAAAATAAAAGTCCTGCATTCAAAATGTTACTCAAGTACACAATATTAGAATGAAAACATACATAAAGTACCAAAAGTAAAAGTAGTCATTGTGCAGATTGGTCCATTTCAGAATAATGTATACGATATGTTTTATAATGATTGATCATTAAAGTGTTATCAAAGCTGGTAAAGGTGCAGCTAGTTTGAATGACTTTGTATACTGCAGGGTAGCTTGTGAATTTACTCCAGGTGGAACTAAAGTCTGATTTAACACTTGATTAGATTTCACATCATTCACCCAGATCTCTAAAGTAACTCAAGGTATTAAATAAAAGTAGTGGAGTAAAAGTTCAGAACTTACCTCTGAATTGTAGTGAAGTACAAAGTAGCATAACATGGAAATACTCAAGTAGAGTACAAGTATCTAAACATTGTACTTAAGTACAGTACTTGAGTAAATGTACTTAGTTACTTCCCATCTCTGAGAACAAATCAAGTCAAGATTAGCAGCAGCATAAACTAAAAAGTTAGTTAGCATTGTGTTTTTAGTGGATGTGAGTCAGCCACTAGGTGGAGACATATAGCTATTAATGGTACAGACTGTCACACAAAACACAGAGCCTGTTGCTGAAGAGGACAACTCATATACAGTGTATGTAAAAGCGACAGCTGCATAGCAATACAGAATGTTTTATAGGAAAAAGACGGGACAAAAGATTCAACTCCAGACATGTACTTCAGGGATGATAGTATGGATGCAGATTTTGTCTTTTTTTGCAGTTAATTGTATTTTTAGGGAAATGTAATATCCATAAAAAGAAATGGGCTGACTCCAAACCACATTTAGTACATTTTGATCAAGAATTTCAACAATATATTAGCACTATTCAAAACATTAGGAATAAGAATGCAATCAAAACTAATTTGATATTTAAAAAAAATATTTAATCTGAAGTATCACAATGTATTTTTCGTTCCTTTGTTCTTTATTTAATGTCTTGTTGCTTTGTATGTCTGCCCCTGGACTTTGTCTGTTGTTTGTCAAATGTATGATGTTCATGTATGACAATTGAATAGATGAATACAAATAAATAAAAAATAAAAAAGCTGCATAGCAATACAGTAAGTAGCCTACAATATATAATAATGCTTACAGAATTGTATCATTGTTTCTAAAAGCATAGCTACTCTCATGTCTAAATCGAAATACAACATAGGCTATGTTCTGCAACAATCACACATTTTTCCATCTAAAATAAGCCTATGTCTACCTTTCATTTAAACGTTATTTGAATAATCTATTTATTTCGTTTATTTTCATGTGGCTTTTGCCCCGAGGTTTTTAATCCCTGTGGGCGCATAGCGTGTCCTATTCATGCGTGTTCACCTCTCTATAACCCTAAATAACGAAGGATTTGGAAGTAGTTTATGTGAGATGGCCACTTTTATCAATATCCGTATTGGAGTAGTTGTCATGTATGAACAGTAGGCCTATCTAGTTCGAAACCGGGTTGACACTTATTTTGTGACGGAAGGAATGATACAGTAGTTGTTCTGTATTTAGCATTCGACGTTCACTTGAATTAATACTATTTATTGTACTTTAATCCAATGCACATGAGGCTGATATTGTACCCAGCGTTGCCAGATTTGGCTTGTTTCTACCCTTTTGGGCTACTAAAAATAGCGTCGTTTATGGGTTATCTTATTTTAAAAATATATACATGTATGAGTTGTATGCAATGGTTTACTATTACAGTTTTGCGTTGGTTTCTGTCAACGTTATGATTTGGGCAGGTTTTAAATTGTAACTATCTGTAAATCGTATCTGGCAACACCTGGCCGTGACGATGGGCGTAGCTGGGCGCTAAAACTATTTAGCTGCAGATTCGTGAGCCGTCATGTACCAAGAAACAGCTTTTACAGCCATGAGGCAATCATATCAACTTAACAGTGAGTATATTTCATGTCTGACTTTTGTGCATTCACTCTCTGCCATTAGCTAGCTAACATTAGACAAAGGAGGTTGTGACAGGTGTCGTGTAGCTATCGTGTTATTATGGTAACATTAATTAGCACATACGTTGGTTAGCTAAAGTTAACGTTAGCTCGTTAGCTAATGTTAACGTTAGCTTGTCCGTTAGCCGTTAGTTTCAATACGTTGGCGTATCAATCATATTCTTGTTAATAGCGACTTGAATAAATGTAATAACGTGTTATAAACGTGATAGGAGTATATATGGGCTTACTGCAACTTTTTGTGTTTTGGGCCAAATGTGCTTTTTTTCGCCTCTACAGCGATGTAGACAAAAAAAAAGCATATCTTTTTAGGGTGTCCGCGGGGTCTTAAAAAGTATTAAAAGTTGATAAATCAATTTAGCGAAAATTAAGGCTATTAAAAAGGCTATTAAAAAGTATTAAACGGCATTTTCCAAGGTATTAAGAAGGTTCACAGCAACGACAACATGAAACACCCTTTAATTTACTGAAACGACATGTCGGGAAACCCCACAAGGCGGCCCCATGCATAGCGCGCCGTTAAATGCTGCTTATTATTTTAAGTTTCGTTGACTTGCTCCGCTCTGTGTGTGGGGGGGGGGAACTAAACGACTACGGTAACGGGTCCCAAGGTGGGTAGACCGGCATACGCAACGCTCTGGGTGTCCAACGGCTCCGTGTGTGCCCTATATGATCATTTTCTGATAACGATGAAAGAGCCCGCCTCCCTCTCCCCACGTCTCCTGCTGCTGCTGGGCTGTCAGAAGAGGGGGAGAAAAAGAGAGGCAGTCACCGTTTATTATTATACAGAGAACAGAGTCGTTATCAATTTGTTTTAAAGCTCAATAAATAACAAAGAAGACCTCTGACCGGCACTTTCCTAATTTTGTATCAGAGGTCTTCTTTGTTATTTATTGAGCTTTAAAACAAATTGATAACGACTCTGTTCTCTGTATAATAATAAACGGTNACAACGAGAGACAGAGGCACTTCTTTGGGAATGTTTAAGACGGGGTGAGTGAGTGTTGACATTTTTTAATCCTATGCAACTGGTTGATGGTTTTGTAGTCGAGGTCGGACGGTTTTAAAAACGAAAGCATTTACGTGCTAAACATTCACGCGAGTAATCCAATGAATCAAATGGAAATAAGGTTTTTAACATATGCACGGAATAATATTGCCAAACTAGTTAGCAAACTTTATTCAATAAGTCAAGTATTTACTCCCGGAAAATGTTTATGTATGATGATATATTGTTAACTTAGCTCACTATGGAAACAACGTCGGACATCTACAAACACGTCCTGTATCCGATCTCAAAATGTGCCATTTGCACAATGTGTCATGTATGCAGCCCTTGTTTTGCACTTGCGCGCACGTCGCGGCACTTTGCGAGCGTCTACCGGCTCGGGCTGCATTTTACACCGAACATATAATATACCGTTCGAAACATCTATTTGCCGCCGAACGCCACCTCACTCAAGTCGACCCAAGTCATACCGTCAGTGGCGGCTGGTGGAAAATATTTTTGGTGGGGCTGTTGATATAGTGAGTAAAATAATTTTTTTTGGGAGAAATGACCCCTTAAATTGGGACTGATACCGTCATATACCGTATACCACGGTATGATGTCAGCAAGGTATGACGGTATGAAAAAAATGATACCGCCCATGCCTAGACCACAGGTAATGCTGCATTCACGACATGTTGAAAAAACATCCCTTAACTCTAAGAAAAGTCATTTTTTCGACTTTGAATGTCCTAATTCACCACACGCAGTGTTTTTTGCCTCAACTTTCCCTTGTCCACTTACTTTCACATTATCTGTAACTACCAGTTGTGTACAGGAAGCAGAGTTGAAACCTACAGTGCAATTCACTTTTCTCCAGGCTACCAAAATCAATCACGACCAATTTTCACGAGCCTTTTCATTCAGAGCACCTCTCCTTTGGAATCGTCTTCCGTTTCATATCCACAAAGCTATTTCCGTTGATTCCTTTAAAAGCAAACTCAAAACCCATCTCTTCGCATCTGTCTTCCTTGTAAACTAGCTTCCATCACCTAGTTTCGGCTCATCATTACCATCACTTCAGTCACATGCTTTTATCACATGGCAATACTTATGTTGTTGTATTATGTTGTATAATATTCTTATAATTTTTATGCTATGACGTTTGTATTTTGTTTTTGTCTTAGCTTTCGTTTGCTTTGTACTTCCCTTTGAGGCATTTCTTGTGATTTGGGGCTATACAAAATCTTGATTTGATTTGATTAATGATGCATTCACGACATTTTGAAAGAACTTCCCTTAACTCTACGAACAAGTCCTATTTTTGACTTTGAATGTCCTAATTCACCACATGCAGTGTTTTTTCCTCAACTTTCTCTTCCTCTTACTTTCACATGATCTGTAACTACCAGTTGTGTACAGAAACCAAAATGGAAACCTACAGTGCATTGTTTTAAAAGTAAATAAACTTTAATAGTTATATATCTCCCCCCTTATAGTGGTACAACAGAACAGACTACCCCATCTTCACCCAGTACCAGAGATACAGGAGGCTTCATCCGATGCAGCCCTTCTACATCCTGCATCCTCGCTTCGAGTGGCAGGTCTGGCAACGTATTCAAGACAACATGGCTGAGCCCATCCAGAGAAACCCTCCCTCCTCCGGCCTGCTTGGTATGCAAAACCTTATCTGAAAAACCTGTGCTCGTGAATGAAAGTTCAGTAGAGTTTAGTAGAAATACCGTAGACTCTGGTAAACAAATTGCAGCTCACTTCCAAAAAGAAATGCTGTAAGAGTGTTGCGGGAACCAATATAAAGAAACAAATGTTAGTTTGGTTATATAAGTAATATTATTTGATTATATATATATATATATTTATAAGCTGAAGATCAGAGGTAAGTACTCAGATCTTGTACTTAAGTAAGTAGAAGTACAGGAGTGTAGGAATACTCTCTTACAGTAAAAGTCCTGCATTCAAAATGTGACCCAAGTAAAAGTACAAAAGTATTGACATCAAAATATACTTATTTGATTTGATTTATTTCAAATGTGTAAAACAATAATACAAACATTTAACATGAGAATTATTATACAATACAAAATTAAGCAGTCAAATTGATATACAAAAATATTACTGATTCTAAATTATGCATGAACAAATAATCTACTTGATTACACATCCAAAAAGGCGATGGGAAGATTTTTTTTTTCTTTTTTCAGAAATACATTTGTTATTGAAAAAAAACAAAAGTAAATGTAGTCATTATGCAGAATAATTATATGTTTTGCTGCAGCAGCAAACAGCTCTCACTGGCTAAAATGTGCCACTAGCAGCCAAAGATATATTACATCCGTAGTGATTTAGCACTACCATAGAGAATGAATGGGAAAGCGTTTAGGGAGTTTTAGCTAACGGGTGCCGAAATAGCGCCAGTCGACTGCTCCCTTCTGGACAAAGTATGTACTGCACCACCACGTCTCATCCCTTCCTCGATAGTATAGTGGTCAGTATCCCCGCCTGTCACGCGGGAGACCGGGGTTCAATTCCCCGTCGGGGAGGAAACATTTATTGTTTTTGAGAATTTAAGAAGTAAATAAAAGGAAAGAAAATAGAGTAGGGTAGGAAAAACGCAATAGAGATCAGTAAGGCAAATGCAATAGAGAACTGAAAAGAACACCAAGTGACGTAGTACAATTTTGGTGAAGAAACAAATAACAGTTCCACAAAGAAAGCTTACGTTTTTTTTTAAAACCCAGTGGACTTTGGTTAATAAACGCAGTAATGGCAATTTTAATGTTCCAATGTCCAATATTCTGGTTGCCATTATATACCGATGAGGTTTAAGAGTGATCATACGCAGACATATAACAGATGATTTCCATTCTTGAATGCAGTTTGATTTGTTGTTTATTGAGCGTTTGTACAATACCAGAGCTGAATGAGCAGATGAATGTTAGTAGTTGTGAGCATCTGCCACGTCTGGTTGAATCGGTGTGCTCTTCCTCCTCCTGTCCTGTCCCTCTCAGCTCACCATGACCCTATTTATTCACCTTCACCCTGTGCAGTCAACCCCGCCACCAAGTGGTCAAAAATAATATGGCAAGATAAATACAAACAAAATAAACTGACATGCCAACAACACACATAAATGGCTCCTATACATGCAGGAAAGATCTGTGAGAGACGCAGTATAGTATGGTGGCTAACGCAGTAGAGTACAGTACTGGAAAGTGTTTTGGTGTCTACTAAATATTACAACATATTTTCTCCTTTGAACCCTGATGATGTCGCTGTGTGAGGTGATGCATGTTTACGAGTTCCTGCTGCCCCTCAGAAAGACAGAGCTTTGTCATTTTTACCTATTATACAGCTGTACTGTGTTCTGCCATAATACATACATGTATATATATAGTATATTAATGAATAATCTCCATACATTTTTTCTCCCTACTGGAGTTTTTTGGTTACACAATCACGTTACTGCTGCAGGAGCAAACAGCTCTCACTAGCAGCCAAATATATATTACATCCGTAGTGATTTAGCACGACCATAGAGAATGAATGGGAAAGCGTTTAGGGAGTTTTAGCTAAAGGATCCCTTTGCCGAAATAGCGCCTCTGTTGACTGCTCCCTTCTGGACAAAAAGTGTAGTGCACCAAAGATGCTCATCCCTTCCTCGATAGTATAGTGGTCAGTATCCCCGCCTGTCACGCGGGAGACCGGGGTTCAATTCCCCGTCGGGGAGGAAACATTTATTGTTTTTGTGAAAATTAAGTATGAATGAAAGGGAAAGCAGCAGAGTAGGTTAATAAAACACAATATCTGTAAAGAAACAGTGGAATATGGTGAGAAAAATGCAAAAGACTTGTGTTAAGAAACAGTAATCGGGCAAAGAGACGTATAGTAGTTTGGTGAAGAAACAAATAACAGTTCCAAAAAGGAAGCCAGTGAAATTTGGTGAATAAACACAGTTAAGAACTATGAGTTACAGTTCGGTGACTAACACAGTAGAGTACAGAATAAAGAATCGTGACCCATACTCAAAACTGTTTTGGTGTCAACAAAATATCACAACATATTCTCTCCTTTGTATCCCGCCCAGGTACAATCCTGATGATGTCGCTGTGTGAGGTGGTGCATGTTTACGAGTTCCTGCCGTCCCGCAGAAAGACAGAGCTGTGCCATTACTACCAGCGTTTCTACGACGCCGCCTGCACACTGGGCGCATATCACCCTCTGCTGTACGAGAAAAATCTGGTCAAGCGGATGAACCAGGGGTCAGACCCCGACATCTACACCCATGGACGTGTCACCCTGCCTGGGTTCAGACATCTGAACTGTACCCACACTGCCGGAGTAAACAACCACTGACTTGAAAATACAAAAGGAAAGCACACAAACACAAACATATGAAGCAAAGCAGATACCTGCATGAGGACAGACGCATGAACATTTCATTCTCACTGCCGAAACAAAAGTGCCACTCACTATAAATATTACATGTAACATCAGGCTGCAAACACGTGACACACACACACACACACGCACACGCACACACAGTCCAATTAACTAATAGATGTGCCTGCTTGTTCATACATACATACATTCATGACCTATAGAGGAGGTTTTTATTAGTAATCCCTGTTCATCCCTGAATATACATACATCCCTTACAAAAGGAGCATATCGCTGTTTTAACCATGTATGTAAAATCATGTATTTTAATGTTAATATTTTGTGTTTTCCAAACGGAACTAGCAGGTTTTTGATGTCTTCCAGAAAAACAATCAACACCACTGACAACATTTATAAAAGCTATACTTCCAACAACTACTGACAAGAAGCATAATATAAATATATATCAATGTATCTAAATAAATGCTCAAAAAGGTCAAATCACCCAAAAGACATGTGGTATGCTTTGGAAACAGAACATGATTATGATGTTTAATTTTCGGTTTATTGGAATGAAACATGTTAACATCAGCACTATGGTCGTTTTATCTAATTTCATCCTCGTCCTAAGCCAACCAAAGTCTCAAACTGACCTGCTGAAGACGTTAAGAAATTATCCAAATGGATCTCATTACTCAAACTAACAAAAAAACAACAACAACAACCAGGCCTTAACTCAATGTAAATATTGCATTTACATATTTTAAACCGAATCACAAAAGCTGATTTCCTTTTGAATGTTATTTCACTTAAAGCACGACTTCCCTGAAAGCAGCTGTGGAGTAATTATGGTTTTTCTTTGTTTGTTGGTAGAATCTAGATCGGTTTTGTATCTGTTTTTCACTGCTGACACTGCTTCCCTAACATCTGATGATACTGAGGAAAGAGCTGATTCAGTTCTGTTACTCAGGTCAGTTTGAATTTAGTCTTAGTACAATCATAGGGCACTTGCTTATGAATGCCACATCAAACTTTGCTCTGGTTTCAGACATGTCTCCTGTAGCTAGGATTTCAGTTTTGGGAATTTGTTAAAGCTCTATTTTCAGGGCTTGAACTCCCTTTTTAAAACAGCAAAACATCTTGGCTTGAAGTCAGCAGTTTTATCCAAGTGTGATTGTGTTTGTTCTCATACTTTAATTGCTGTAATGAGTTGTGAGTAACAGTAGGAGTACGCCAACTTTAACGCCAGTCGAATTAGAAAATGTATCTTCTTCTCGCCCAAATACGTTGGGAATAAGTGGATAAAACATATAATATAAAAAAATGAAGTCAAACTAATGTTTTGTACCCACATTGTCAAACCTGTTACAACCCGTTCCCTCTAGTCTTCTTATAATTCTTATATAGTGTAGCATTAATACCCAGGAGGACGGTCTTCAATGTGATTCTGTTACACAGCCATATAAAGCAGAGTTTTATTAATATAAAAATTCATAAACTATTAACGACAATTAATATATATATACGTTCCTTTTAGTTATTGGTAACTGTTGGTCTGAGTTAAGGGAGAGTTCATTTGATATCATGCAGCTTCAGACCTTCGATATCAAAGATCTGTTTAATTTATCTTGCAAAACTTGTTAAAATAACCTTGCAGCTAAAGCTAGTTAGCTAGCCTGTTGACTTTAAAAGGCAGAACAGTTTAAACATTTATTAGAAAAGGAACTAATGTGCGCCACAGCTTTGAGTAGAATATGTTTTTGCCGTTCATATTTTCCCAACTCTTAGTCCGTAGATGTTTCCAGAACTACAACCTGCATCAATGTTGTGTTTTTAGTATTAATCGCAGTAGAAAATAGCCTCACGAGTATTTTGACTTTTTGTTCAGCATGTAAATAAAATATTCTCCAGAGTAGTGAAGCAACAAGAAGAAGTCTATACATCTCTGATAAACAGAGAATTGTCCGCATGGCAAGAATCCTGCTTTTTATCCCATTATTTTCCTCCTGCGTATTGATATTAGCATTACTACATGCGATCCAGCTCATTAGCATGCACACAAACACAATGAGCCTGGACTGTACAGGGTGAGTGTGATGCTCCTTCATTGTTATATGTGTCTCAAATATTAGATTTTTTATAACAAATGAATCACTTTACGACATACAAATAGTAAATCAAACATCAACATTTTAGAATATTTAAAGATGGACTAGTCCCAAGTTTATCACATGTCAAAATGTTTTGGTCATTTGATTAATTTATGAAAGATGTGCACCACTGAAGTGTCTTACACTGTTCAGTAAAGGGAGACACTGTACAATGTTAGTATTGATCTGTTGTTGTGTGAGTTAATGGATCCTTCATTTTATTCATCCTTTCTGCATTAAAACCACTTGTTTGCTAGCACTGTCTGCTCACACTGAACGTAAACATAAAATGTTGACAACAAAAAGATAAAGGCAGCTTTGTGTGATTCTACTGATTATGAACCAAAGTAGTAAAAGACAAATATCGAGCCGCAGAAAGCTTCAAATACGTGGTAATTTACGACTGAATTTCTGTGAAAATCTGCAATAAATTGCTATTTATTTCTTGTTTCCATCCACTACTGTAATGTGGGATACAGTTCCACAGTTGGTGGGGGAAATTCTCCAGTCAGTGCCACAAAGAACCGAAAAGGGGGGAAATTATTCATTGTACTTTGTTCAGTTGTGGTTTTGTGGATAAACTAACTTTTTTACTTCAGCCAAGCACAAAAACCTTACATTTTTTAAATTGAAATTCACATTTTCATCAAGGTTTTTGGATTGACAATGTGAAAAAAATGCACATAAAAAAGGTGGATGGGATTGAAACTATGACTGCTTCAGCCGTTTTATTTGTTTTCATTCATACGCATATTTGACTCTACAGACATTATAATCTTATAATCAGGTCAATATCGCCAATGTTTTAAGTTTCATCATGAACGGCTCCGCTAATGTTTTTCTAATAACTTCAGTTTGATGTTCTTACTTTACTTTATTGTTTATTCGGGAGGCAAACACATGAATAATTAAGAACTTTTTCTCCCTATGCAGTTCTATTGTTGTTCTAACTCCTGCTCATTTAATTTGTGTGAAACCTTTTTATTTAAGCTTACAGATATGTGTCTGCTTTGCCTTCATCCTCTTGCTTTTTTAAAAGAGGGTTAGGGTTAGTTAAGCTGTTAACTATGGTTTAATGTGGTTGATTGTATTTGTTATTTCTCCTGGAGTCTTGTCACTTGATCCATCCACTTCTATAAGCATGTTGCTTTTTCTTAAGTTCAGTTTTCTTTACATTTTTAAGAAACATCAGTAACTATGTATTAATGACAAATGTACAGTTTGCTTTCCTCAAGGACAAGAAATAGCTCATCGACTATTTGATAGATAATTTTTAACTTACACCATTATGTTCGCCTCAGGATAAATCGTAACACATATGATAACTCTAAACAGGTTTAAATAAAACCAATCTGAGCAGATGCAGTTTAGCGGTTACAAGTAGGTTCATTTTGAAGTATGTCACCACAATTCACACAGGCTTAGAAACACAATTACTTTTCTGTTTATATATCAGTATGTTTCCAACACAGCATGTTAAATTACATTTCTAAAATATTGTGATTAATATTAATATTATTGTTGTTTTTCAAGGATTCAGTGAACTGACTACATTGTGTTTTGTTGATGATTTTATGTGTCATGTCAGCCATTCTGTCTGTACAGTATGTGAGCAGGAGGTTGAGACGATCACATGTCTGGGTGTTGGGAAGAAGTACATTTATGTATTTGTAACCCATCAATCAATAAATACCTGACAACTGAAAGGCTCTTGAAATAATTATTGAATATAGAGGGTGTGGTGACTATTGCCACTCAATATCCCCATGGATTGAAAATGTGACTTTTAGTTAGTTCAAATTACGACCACAACATTCTTGCTATTAATACCATTTATATAAACCTGTTTTTGCAAACTGTTTGCACACACAGCCTCTATCACCCACACCTGTGCTGGTGAGACCACCTGAATACCCTGTGCCCCATTGCACCATCTACTGCTCAAAACCAACAACAAAAACATACAAATGGGCACACAGAGGGAATTTAAAAAAGAGAAAATACTGAATAACTTCATGATTAAAGTAGTATTTTCCACATTTGGTTGTCTACAACATATCCTAAAAATACAGAAGAAAATTTAGATTTTATAATACTACAATTACTTTAATGGACACGATTGTCCTGTTATAGAGTTACATTAATATTAAGTATATATTTCATAATTATTACTGATGCATTAACATGTAAGCAGCATTTCGCTTTTGTAACTGGTGGAGTTAAAGACGTTTACCGACTTCATAAAATGTTGGGTGGTTATATCCAGAATAATACATTTTCAATTACAAAATGGCTGTCTGTTTTGTTTGTAATATGTTTATCTAAAGTAACTGGTAACTTTTATTTTCAGATAAACGTCAATAATTAAAAGTATGATGTTTAATACAAATGACAGTGGAGTGTTAACCAGTAGAAAATGAGAGTAGGGTATTATTCAATACTTGAGTAAATGTAAGTAGTAAGATTAAGGAGAATAAAGACATGTGTGTGACACAAAAAATGTCAATCAATCAATCAAAATGTATTTATAGCTCGATTAATATGAAACACATTTGACTTTTGTCTTACTGGACTATAGAGTTTGTACAGAATATGAATAAGACACTTCTACCGTTTTTATCCAATTCGAGTAACATCATAAGATGTTGAGGATCAAAAGCAGGGTATGCAGGAATCCTGAAGTCAAATTTAATACCTTTTAAGACCTTTTTTAAGACCCTTTCCATACATTTTAAGACCTCATCGCAACTTTGAGTTCTAACCGGTTACATTGGCAACACACTTTACCTCACATTTACTATATTGATTGTAAGATAGCAAAACTAAACAGAGCGCAGACAGACTACTTACTGAAGCCTCCTTTCCACATGAACTTCAACCTCTCTGTGAAGGTCAGGTTTAATGCAGTATGCTGCTTTTTTGCTTCTGTACTCTGTGCTCTTTCATTCCAGTAAAACTCCTCAGAAAACATTAGAAACCAGTATTTGACCAATAAACAAAACAATTGACAAAACTTTGAACTATGAAATATGTTAAACTTTGGTGAGCTTCAGCAGGGTAATGCCATATAGGAGCTCCCTCACAAATACCCAGGGGGTTAAATTGGGCTGGTGCTGTCCGGGGCTAAGCCCTGGCACATAAGACGATGCTCTGACGTCATCACCCTCACACATTTGTCATATATTTACAAAAAAGGATATATATGTTAAGACTTTTCTCGTTCTTAATATAGACTATATTTAGGGTCTATATGTGTTGACTTTACTTTAAAATAGCAGATCTCTGTGACCGGATATAGTTTGGCTTAGACCCCGGCCCCAC